TGGTAGCGCTTTCCAAATTGCCTCCTCAAACGAAAGCTTGTAACTAATACTACCATCACTTTCGTACTTCAGGGCACGCAAATCATGCACTCTGGGATCTCCTACTCTCTTTCCGGGTCTAATGCTTTGAAGGAAGAATTGATTCATTCTTTTGAAATCAGTGTGCTTCCTTTGGCGAACATAATAGGGTGATGAATTGATTCTTGCGGATTCCATAAGTACGATTAAATCTCTTTCAGAAAAAATGTAGCCTACGATCTTTTGTTCAATGACGCTGTGCATCGAGTCACATTCCATTTGTGTATATCCAGCCACCAAAAATTTTTGCTCCATATCTATGTTGTAAATTCTTGCCAAACTAGAATATGCATTGGCTACCGTAATATTCCTATTTTGGTAACCACATCTATCGCTCCAAACTATGATATGCTTCAGCTCGGGATTATTACAAATAATAATTTTCAAACTGCAAGTATGCAAATACTTCACTAGAAATATTGCCTTCAGTTTCATTCCAGACGTAACAGTAACCTGCTTTTGATTTCGTATCATATAGTGTGAAATTGTGTACCTGTAGCTTAGTTCTGTAATATGAGGTACTAGCTCTCGTTCTAGGACATAAAAGCACGGCCTGTAGAATAGATCCATCGTCCAAACGGATTTATTTGCACCTGCAGAATCTTTGTCGGTTATCGTTTCTTTTCTAGCATCATCCTTCAGTTCGATATGCAAGCTATATACTCAACTGTACTCATGTTACCATGTTTGTAACCTACACACTTATCACACTGATCCTTTCGGGGAATGAAAACTGAGTATTTATATCTGTGGAAAATCTCGTTGAAATAAGCTTCACTTACGACCCTCCTGTTTTCTTCCTCTGCAACATTTTGGTAATGTCTGGGGAGGGCAGATATTGTGGTGCCTGGATACAAAAATTTTATGTTTCTGTAACTTGGCAATTTTCTGCAATGATGCGAGTGTACAGTTGGTAGTGTGCTGAGCCACTCTTTTATAAACTCTCTATCCCTTTCACTTACTTCTGCACACTTTCCACTTTTCGGACCTGCTTGAACAACAGCTGTTTGGTTAAAAGAGGTTTTATGTTTAATCGAAGACACCAAAGTTCTGCAAGGCATCCCAAACGTGGAAGCGAACATTTCTTTGCAGACTGGCAGATCAGAACCATTCGCAAGCTTTAGTTTGTAAACATATATATGAAGATTTTCTATTAGATACACCGGATGATCTTTGTTGTTTAACCTCATGTCTCCCAACCAGAGTATTTATGAATATTTTGCGTTCATTCCAAGTCGTCATATATCAAATTTTAATGAACATAGCAAGTCTTTGATCGTCATCTACAACGTTGCAGATCTACATGGTGGCCTTGGTTAACGATTGGGTACATTCTTTCCTTTCCAGTTTCTATATGATTTTCCACGGAGGCGCCTGATTTTTTTCTTTATTTTGTTTCCATTTATCGTGCACTGGTCTCTTTTCTCGGTTAGGTGAGGGCTCGTCATAGGTTTCAATAGTGTCATCTGGTCTTGTAGAGTCTTCATTGGTACTGTCCGAGATACTCGACGTGTCCAGATTATCGAGACTTACATCAATATCCAGTATTTCGTGAAACGGTAAGAAGCCACTTTCACTATATAAATATGCATCGGAATCCCCCTCGCAACCATCGAGCTGAAGCTCTATAAACCTTCCAACTTCATTCACCTCATAGGTGAAAATTAAATACGTTTTAAGAAATAATTAATTTGAAGATCGCTCGCTACTATCGCGTATAAATTCGCATTTTTTGGCGTTCAATAACTTAGCACATGTGACACTACCATTTGCAGAAGCATTTCCAAGGAAAGCATAGTTTTTCAGCTTCCTGGACACCATACTGTTAATATTCGATCAGTATAATTACTTGCCGGTAGCGTCCAGATGTTGAAATATATATTTTAGTACACCCTACTTGAACCAGACAGCTCTGCTAGACGAACAGTGTCGTAACGACACCAGAACGTACAAAAACTAGATGCGGACAGGCGTATTTAAATGTGCCTATCTCAATTATAGTCAGTTTAGGCAAAACCAAAATCTGCCTAAGTCCACTTCCTGAGATGGGCAGATTCGTTTTTGCCCCCTAGCGGCTGATTTATACCAGATATGAATGTTTAAATAACATAGAAAGATAGATCTTTCCCCAACGAATCCGGCGATACCAAAATCCCAAAATCGACAAAAAGTGACTTTTTTTTATTAGTGTGACGATAACCACCAATGTGTTGTCGGGCAATAAAAAAAATGAATGACGAAATGAATTTATTTAAGGTGAGCATATTTAAATTGCCAGAAACTTTATTCAAATGATATTTTTTACTTAAATTAAATATCTTTAATGCAAATGATTGAACTCAACCACTTTCCAACTTATTCTAAATTGAATTCATTTTATGACGTTTTACATATTTTTTCTCTTCCATTTGTATCGTTATCTTTAAAGTTCTAATTTGATGACTATGTTTGTTGCAGTCTATTCATCTTGTGCAACGACGACCGAGAACGCCTCGCCAATAAAATTAACGAAAAAGATTTTTTGAGTAAAGTTATTTTCAGTGAACTCAATATGTCACGTAGTCAATGATGTGTTCACCATAAAATATATCTGAATGTAATCCACTTTAAATACATTTTGTCACGAAATTGTTCTGCAAAATTATCTTGTTATCTCCAATTACAACATTAATTATGGGTATGTTCGAAAAATTGAACTTTGTTTGTGTTCAATTTGGAGACTCATTCAAGTTTTATGCACAAAGTGAGAAAATTAGTTTTGTGCAATCAAAACTTGTACAAAGTTGAAATGCAACGTAAACATTATTGAGAGGCTGGATTTATGCGATGAGAGTCATAGGCCAGAAATAGCGATACTTTTTCAATGGATGGGTCAAGCATGAAGGGCATACGTATTCGAGCAATAGCATCTTGTTGCTGCATCTTTTTCTCAAGTTTTGAAATCTTTGAAATGAGCCGGACCGAAGCCTGTTATCGAATAGTTTGGGATTAGAATTCTATACGGATGCGATATTTCAAATTGCACTTACCTGATCAGGCGATTTCGGTACTCAATTTTATGAAATTAAAGTGCGGAAACCCGGATTCGCACACATATGTATTATCGAAAAACGTTTATAATGCTACGGCAAATAATTTCATAATTTCAAAAGGTATGAGACGGAGTTACACTATGAGAAAATTCAATTTTTTGATTGGCCTTTCAACTGCTTTAAAGGCATTCTATGCGAGAAAAAATACACTACAGAATATCATCTTGTTTGTTATACCCCTCAAAACAGGCCTGCACAGCTCAAAACAATGTGAGGGCTTTAAAAAGATATCGTTCGCGGGCCATACACTGTTTTCTATTTATTATGTTTTTGTTTTCTAAATATAACATTAATATATTATATCTATGATCAACTCATTTTGTTTGTACAGAATGGGATGATATGTATTCACACCAAAAGAAATTGAAAATACAAATTATCGAATTTTTCGAAATTATTGTCCACTATCCATTAGTGATTGTCAAACGACCTATACACCATTTTTGGTTCTTAAGTTCATATATATATTTACATCTAACACGGCCGGCCCAAGCTTAAGTATTCAGAATGGGACGCTCCCAATTAAAATTTGAATCAAGGAAGAACAATAATTTGTGAAGTTTGAATAGCTGTTTACAAATATCTTTGAAATTACAAAACAAAAATGCATCACAACATTAGACCCATATAGCCTAACACAACCTAAGTTTGAAATAGCCTTTATAATATGCACAAATAAAACTATCATTAGAAATATTTGCTTACAAATTTTGATCACCTAATCCTGCTTTCAAACAGATATAATAAAACAAAATAGATATAACATGTTCAAACAAAACTATCATTATAAATATTTGCCTCCAAATTTTGATCAGTTAATCCTTTTTTCAAACAGATGCAACAAATTTGATGTGTACCATGAACAGGAGTTTTGTTTTGAAGGGGTGTTATCAACAGTTAAGTGATAAAGAAACATTAATAAAAGAACCCAGCCAAGAAAGTGTTGTTAAATAATCCAATTAGAAGAACTGCTACAACAATATGTTGCAACACAAACCTGGTTTATATTACACCAAACATATTTAAGATTCACATCGACTTTCTTCATACAATTAACCCGAATCAAATGAATTTTCGATGGCGTTTCGAGATTGCCACGATGAAAGATTCAAAGATATATAAGGCATGGTTTCTTATAAAATTTAAAAATAAATAGTTTTCAAGCACCAAGTAGCCTATTTCAAATATCTTGAAGATCATATTGTCTGAAGTTCAACATAAAGCAGACATACTGATAGACCATGAATACATGAAGAAGGCGATTTTTCAGTAAACAATGCTGCAAAATAATATTTAAAAACGAAAGTGTGGAGGCAGCATCAGTTGGTATTTTGGCGTAGTTGCAGATTAGGTTCGTCTAAGTTGCAAAGTTGTAAGCGGCACTAATTTGAGCCATTAAAAATATACAGATGGGAACTTTTACTTGCGTGTGACAATCTAAATATATAAGAAAACCGTATGTAAATATTAAGATCGTGATTTCGAGACTAGAATCTTCACCTACTCATTCCAAACTCAAAATAGAATCCGAATTGAATTTCTTATCCGTTTACCGACTCTCGCCTAAACGGATGAGCAAAAAAAAACGATGGTGTATATTTTTAAGTGATTCATTTTGTGATAACTTTGGTCTCCCTGATTTTGTATATATGGATAACACAATGCTGTAGAAATAGATGTTCCATCAAGTCGATGTGGTTAAATTATATTCAATCATTTTATGTTTAGTCATCAAGCTTTAGTTTTTTTGTATTGAATTAATAATAAGCATTTTATCCAATATATCTTCATTTTCGTATTGAAAGAATTTTGAGTTCTTTCTCTGAAAACATGGCGAAATTATTAAAATTATTTATTGTACTTTGTATCTGCTTTTTGCAATCCTGTTTTGGACAAGAAGGAATCGGACTTTGTTCGCAGGTAAAACAAAATACTCAATACTACATTCTTGAACAAATTAATGGCGCTACTAATTGCATACAATGATAACCGCTAAATTCCGTCTAAATAACTGTAATTGCTAAATATTCCAACTTTAGAAATACTATGAATGAAATTTGGAAACTTGTCTAAAAAGTGCAATTGAAGCCATTACGGTTGAAATATGCAAGTGTTCATAGAACTAAAATAAAATAAATATTTCATTGCAACAATTATGCTAAAACGATATGAGGTTATATAAATATAGAATATATCAATTTAGGTGTACCAGATGCATCAATATTGTATGAACCGACAAGACTACTCAACTGGAACAAACCAAGTTGCAAAACGAGGACGAGTCGGCAAAGCTGGGCCCAGGGGATCTCCTGGAATTGTAAACTACGGAGTCATTAATTCGACTATTTCAAAACAATTTGAAGGTGACTACTGACAAAGTTCTTTTGTCATTTTGTCCGTTTTGTAACTTCTTAATATGTCGAATTCTAATTTGGATTCTGAATCTATCACTAAGCCTTTTACAAAATCAAATGCATAGCGGTTTATTTTATTTGTTAAAAATCGGTAATATTTGTAATTTTATACTTTAGCCACAATAATATACATAACTTTTTTCCTGCTGTATTAACCGTCTGACAACACCTAGTGTTAGTTGTTGTTACTCACTTATCAAAATTATTTCCGAATATGCCCTTTTGACTCAATGCAAATTTACCACATCTATAACTTCGTAGAGCCCTATTAGTGAGTCTCATTTTTGGAAGAATATCGTGTGATATAACATGAAACTATCTTTGTTTTATAGTTCTTGAAAATGAGCTAGAAACGAAATTTGCAGAAAATTTTCAAGCTTTGGAGAGGACGAACTCAAATCGTGATGATATAGAACATTTACAGAAAGGTTTATTTTAAATAATTTTTGTAATATTTGATGATTTTTATGATCATAATTCGCCTACTACGCAAATATTGAATAAGAAGTCAATATCACCATGTTTCAAACAGAATTAATGAACTGCACTCGAAGAATCAGCAATCTAGAAGAGATGTTTACGTGGAACAGAGCTAGCAACAATTTTTTCTACAAATTATTTCACGATAAAGTAACTTATGAAACTGCTAGATCGAACTGCAAGAGAATGGGAGCGAATCTCGCATCTGCGGGAGTCCGCGATTCTACTGTACGAAAGTAAGAAAGTCTTAAAATTTCAAATATTGGACTCGAAGGAGTTGTATTTGAGAGCAATATGTATCAAACAATTACAAAAACATTCGTGTACAATTATAAATGAACGGAAGTGTTGAACACATTAATTAAACAAATTTTTTGGTCATCCTCCAATTGCAAATGTTCGAAATATTTTATTTTAAAGCATATTCATGTTTATCCCACTCGACGTCACACTTTCTCGTTATCAGCCCTTTCTGAAATTGATCTATAAAAGGTTAAGGGTGTGATTTAATGTGTAGAGAATGGCCTGCTGGTCTAACTGGTACTACTAGTCTTCCCTGTCTATTCTTCTACGTTGTTCGAGTGATATCCGGAACATCCTCAGCGAGGCCACGTAAAGTCCGTCCGTCTACGCCGTTTGAGCTCTTTTATTTTCGTTCTACAAGTAAAGCGAACCGATTGTGTTGTGTTTGGTTACCCATGCCGTGTATTTTACTGAGTGTAAAGAATAATATAAGATTTTATCACTATTTATTGGACACTATTCATGCTATTGAAATGCCCTTACGGCAGAAAGTGCGCTTCATCAGAACCGAAAATGGCATGATCGGTTCGTGTTGCGTTAAAAACTAGTATGAAATCGTCAATATCGAACGCTCTTACGGTGCTGAGAAAGCGGTTTCAGAAAAGGCGTATCTGCAAGAAGTGTGACGCGAAGGGGTACCTTAATACCGCGCTTGAACCCCTCCGATTCTCAACGCTTAGGGAATTTGAAAGACAATTTGTATCAGAACAATCTTTGAACAATCCGTGAAGGCATGCTTGCAAATGCAGTAAAACTTAGGAATCTTAAGAGAAAAATGTTTTCGAGTAGTTGATAATTTTGCGCGTCTCTCTGTGCGGATGTACGTTTGTCTTTAATGCCGCGGAGGTCACTGGAAACATGTCAAGAATAAATAACGTTTAGGCAAAACGTCCTTGATTACTGAAACTTTTAAGTACATTCAAACCCAAACAGAAGTTCAAGTGTAAACCAATAAGTTATCTTCATTTCCGTAGACATATTGAGAAATCCATGTGTACCGTATAATGTTTGATGTAAAGTTTGTATTTTTGGTATAATTATCTTCCAATTCTAGTCAACTAATTTCGTTGATCAAATCTGGAGAAGGTAACGTCTGGATCGGTTTGGATGATCTTCAGCAGGAGGGTAACTTCATTTGGGCAGATGGCGTCGTCTCTACTAAAGCAAATACTGATTGGTCTACAAACCAACCAGACAATGCGAGAAATGAAGAAGATTGTGGAGATTTTTCTTTTAGGATGGGGTGGAAATTGAATGATGCCGCATGTCGTTTTCTGATGAAATATCTATGTGAAAAACAAATTTAAAAGTTGCAAACGGGATATGGAAATGAAAACCTTTTCAACTTTTTTTCATACTCCCACAAAAGAGAGTGAGTGTCCACACAAGAACAATTACATTTTTACTATATATACATATTTATATGACTCCGTGACGTTATCGATGTATATATAACTGATAACAAAATCTTTTGATTAATATGTGTCACCAGTTGGATAGAGAAAATCTAGTAGACATTGGCTAGAAAGTTTTAATATGAACATAACTAAAATAACTGAAAAATATTTTTGCAAAATAATACACTGACGTTTTGAATATTAAAACATTTTGTTTTCTCATGATAAACTATTTCAATCATAGCGATGGTATTCAATGATCTGTCAAATGAAATATGAAAGTTACGTTTACGCCTTGTTGGCAAATTTATTCAGTATGACTGAGATGAAAAGAAATAACTGATCGTACGTGCTTTCAATGTTAGTGGTCTTGATGCGTTATTAGGTATAAAATGAAAAAATATCTTATTTATGTTGTGTAAAAAACAGAAAATTGTTCTTTCAGTGTTTTCAGATAGAATTAGAGTTTACTGGACTTATTGGGATTTTTTGCTCGCAGATGTGACCAGGAAATAAAGGAAACGTGTTTTACAGATAATATATTATATGATGTAAAATATTAGACATTTTTGTTGCTTGATGCAATTGATTGAATTCAACCACTTTCCAACTTATTCTAAATTGAATTCATTTCATGAAATTTTATATTTTAGTTCCCATTTCCATCTGTATCGTTGTCTTTAAAAGTCTAATTTGATGACTATGTTTGTTGAAGCGTATCTATCTTGTGCAACGACCACCAAACGTCTCCAAGAAATAAAATTCACGAAAAAGGTTTTCTGAACAAAGTTAATTTTAGTGAACTGAATATGTCACGTAATCTTAGACAACAATGACGTGTTTATCATAAAAATATAGCTAAATGTAATCCACTTTTAACATTTTGTCACGAAATTGTTCTGCAAAGTTATCTTGTTATCTCCAATTACAACATTAATTATGGGTATGTTCGAAAAATTTAACTTTGTTTGTGTTCAATTTGGAGGCTAATTCAAGTATTATGCACAAAGTAAGAAAATTAGTTTTGTGCAATCAAAACTTGTGCAATCACGAAATGCAACGTGAGCCTTGTTAAAAGGCTGTATTTTGGCTATGATAGCATCTAGGCCAGAAATAGAGATACGTTTTTAATAAATGGGTGAAACATTATAGGTGTATTATAGAAAAGTAGACTGTGGATCATACGTATTTAGGCAATATCTGCATCTTTTCCTCAAGTCTTGCAATCCCTAAAATTGGCCAGGACTAGGGTTACCATCTTTTTGGCCTTCAAAGCGGGACGCCTCCAAAGACACGGCCCCTTAGCTGTGATTCTGTAACTTTACAGTTTCCGATTTTATTACATATAGTGTAGGGGCCATGATTCTAAACAGTGACCGTTAATATTGTAACTAAACTGGCAACGGTAACCTAGGGCATTGAACCCTGACCAATTTGGTGTTGGCGGGTTCTCTTTCGGCGTGGGCCGGTTGGAGGTAGGACGTATACATTTGTATCTTAATCAATCGGGGGTTTTAGTATTATTAATTAGGCGTAGTTCAAATTTACATCATATAATTCTATTTCCTGTTATTTCGTATAGTTATTATTGGTCCCTCCTGTGTAATAGCACTGTATTTTACCGGATTACTGTTTGACAACTATTTCATCATTATTTGACTACCATTTTGACTCAACAATAAACGTCTTTGGACAATCATTTCGAACTTTGAAAGGAACTCAGACAGTACCGCGTCATCAAAAATGAAGTGCCTGTACGATCTATTTATTCCAATCACCCTAACGAGCGCATCGCCATCGTATGGTGCTGAGCCGTTATACATAGGCCTACATTTAAAGCCATCCCGGCTGTCTTCATTGACCATATTGTCATCGAGAGTTCATGCGCATATTCTCTGTCTAAATATCGGGTTCAGTTCGAAAATAGAAAGGAATAGACGCTAACGATACAAATGATCCGAATTTAGATATTTTTATGTACAGCAAAAGGAATAAAGAATTAGACTGCCGTTTTCAAGCATTGAGATTTTACTTATTCCCTAAGCACGCCTCTCTGCAGATACCACCTTCAAAAAGACTTTGATCAATGTTACATTCACGTGAATGTTCGAACAAGACCAATTAAAAAAGATTTTACATGTGATACGTTCGCTAACAATGTTAGTGGGAAACAACAAACAAACAAAATAACGCATTCACCTTCAGTAATCAGCAATTCAGCCACACAGCAACAACATTAACAAGAGCATGTTAGTGTGTTATGCTGGATGGCTGAACGCAAAAGCGGGACTTTTGACTGACTTGTCGGGACGGTGGGACAAGACGCTAAAAAGCGGGACTGTCCCGCCTAAAGCGGGACGTATGGTAAGCCTAGCCAGGACCAAAACCCGTTATCGAATAGTTTGGGATTCGAATCCTACAGATGCGATATTTTGTGCTGTCCTCAGACGATTTTGGTTACTTAATTCAATTAAATTCATGTGCGGAAACTCGGATTCGCACACATATGTATTATCGAAAAACGTTATTATGCTACGACAAATGTTTTCATGATATAAAAGGGGTTTGGACGGAGTTACACTCTGTGAGAATCCCATATATGGGATGAATATGAGGGGATATGGATTCAAACCAAAAGAACTAATAATTCATATTTTTTTCAATTTGAAATTATTGACCACTTTCCATTAATGATTATCAAATTAACTATACACCATTTTTTAATTCTTTAGTCCGCGCTCTCTAATAAAATTTGAATCAGGGAAGAACATTTAATTCTGAAGTTTTGAATCGCTGTTTAGAAATCAATCCATTACAAAAAGACTGGTAGGTGGTAACATGCTAAAACAAAATATTTTATCATAAATATTTGCTTCTAAATTCTGATCAGTTAATCCTCCTTTCAAACAGATATAGAAAATTTGATGTTTACCATGAACAGGAGTGGGAATTATTTTGAATGGGTGTTTTCAGCTGTTAAGTGATAAAACAACGTTAACAGAATCCAGACAAAAAGTGTTTTTAAATAGTTTAATTCAAAGAAATGTTACAACAATATGCTGTAACACAAATCTGGTTTATATTAAACCAAAAAATTTTAAGATTCACATCGATTTTCTCCATACAATTAACCCGCATCAAATGAATTTTCAATGGAGTTTCGAGATTGCCACGATGAAAGATTCAAATATATAAGACATGGTTTCCTATAAAATTTAAAATCAAATAGTTTTCAAGCTCCAAGTATTTCAAATATCTTGAAGATGTTATTGTCTGAAGTTTAACATAAATCAGACATACTGATAAACCATGAATACATGAAGAAGGCGATTTTCCAGTAAACAATGCTGCAAAATAATATTTAAAAACGAAAGTGTGGAGGCAGCATCAGTTGTTATTTTGCCGTAGATGCAGATTAGGTTCGTCCGAGTTGCAGAGTTGTAAGCGGCACTAATTAGAGCTATTAAAAAATATACAGAGGAAAATTTTGCTTGCTAGCGTGTGACAATCTAACAAAACTGGGATTTAGAGTTATGATCTTCACTTACCCATTTTAAACATTTCTGATCGTTTAACAACATTCTCCAACCAATTCATTCTAGACTAAATCTATTTGCGGAAAAGGAGTATATCTTTTTTGGAAATTCATAACTTGGCCTCACTGATTTTGTAAATATCGTTGTCTGCTTAAATGTTTTATCAACCGTGTCACTGTGTTAAATGATGAGGAAACACGAAGTTAAGGATAACAAAAAGTTGTAGAACTAAATGTTCCTTTAAAGCGATGTGGTTGAATTTTGTTCATTTATTTTGTGTTACTCATTAAGCTGTAGTTTTTGTTATATTTAATTATTTAAAAGATTGTTTTTGATACTCCACATGTATCTTTGTTTCTTTTTATTAGAAGACTAAAGGTATTTCCTCTGAAAACATGGCGAAATTACTAAAATTGTTCTTTGTGATTTGTATCTGCCTTTTGCAATCCTCTTTTGGACAAGAAGGAGTCGGACTTTGTTCGCAGGTAAAACAAAATACCCAATACTACCACCAGTACTATACTCCTGACCAAATCAATGACGCTACTAATTGAATACAATGATAATCGCTAAATTTCCTCGAAATAATTGTAATTGCGAAATCTTCTAACGTTATTATGTCCATTAGAAATATTATGAATAAAAATTGGAAACTCATCTACAAAGTGCAATTGAAGCCAGTATGGTTGATATATGCAAGTGTTCATAGAACTAAAATAAAATAAATACTTCATTGCAACAATTATGCTAAAACGATATGAGGTTATATAAATATAGAATATATCAATTTAGGTGTACCAGATGCATCAATATTGTATGAACCGCCAAGACTACTCAACTGGAACTAACCAAGTTGCAAAACGAGGACGAGTCGGCAAAGCTGGGCCCAGGGGACCTCCTGGAGTAGTAAACTACGAAGTCATTAATTCGACTATTTCAAAACAATTTGAAGGTGACTATTGACAACTTCTATGAAAAAATATTTCTCTGTCAGTTTTGTAATTTCTTAATGTGTCGAATGCTGATTTGGATTCTGGATCTATCACTAAGAATTTTGCAAAATCAAATGCATAGCGGTTTATTCTATTTGTTAAAAATGGGTCCTATTTGTAACTTCATACTTCAGCAAAAAACCTACATAACTTATTCGCGATGTTTAACATCTAGTGCTACTTATTGTTACTCACTGAGCAAAATCACTTCCGATTATCAAAGCAAAATTAGCAATCTATAACTCCGCACAGCCCTATTAGTGAGTCATATTTTTGGAAGAATATCGTTTGATATAACATTAAGCTATCTTTGTTTTACAGTTCTTGAAAATGGACTAGAAACGAAATTTGCAGACAATTTTCAAGCTTTGGAGAGGACGAACTCAAATCGTGATGATATAGAACATTTACAGAGAGGTTTATTTTAAATAATTTTGTAATATTTGATGTTTTTTATGAATATAATTCTCCTACCACTCAAATATTTAATAAGAAGTCAATATCACCATGTTTCAAACAGAATTAATGAACTGCACTCGAAGAATCAGCAATCTAGAAGAGATGTTTACGTGGAACAAAGCTAGCAACATTTTTTTCTACAAATTGTTCCACGATAAAGTAACGTACGAAACTGCTAGATCGAACTGCAAGAGAATGGGAGCGAATCTTGCATCTGCGGGAGTCCGCGATTCTACAGTACGAAGGTAAGAAAGACTAATGATTTTAAATAGTAGACACGAAGGAGAAAAATTAAACATTGTACTTTAAAATGAGATGAATATGCTTCAAAACTAAAAAGAAAGAAAGACACATAATTTCTAATATTGGATTCGAAGGAGTGTATCTGAGAGCAATTTGTATCAAACAACACCGCGCTTGAACCCCTTATATTTTCAACGCTCGAGGAATTTAAAAGAAAATTTTTATCATAACAATGTTCAAACAATTCGTGAAAGCATGCTCGCAATCGCAGTAAAAATTAGGAAAATCTTGAGAAGAATGTAAACAAATAGATTCTCTTCATTTCTGGAGAAATAATTTAGAAATCCAGGGGATCTGTATAATTCTGTATGAAAGTTTGATGTAGAAGTTTGTATTTTTTGTATAATTAGATGAGAGGCGCTGAATATTTGGTTTTGTATTTAACGATGAACCAAACTTAAGCGCATTATCTTTTAATTTTAGTCAACTGATTTCGTTGATAAAATCGGGAGGAAGTAACGTTTGGATCGGTTTGGATGATCTTCAGCGGGAGGGGAACTTCATTTGGGCAGATGGCGTCGTCTCTACTAAAGCAAATACTGATTGGTGTACAAACCAACCAGACAATTATAAAAATGAAGATTGTGGACATTTTGCAACTGGGTTTGGATGGAAATTGAATGATGCTTCATGTTACGCTCTGATGAACTATATATGTGAAAAACAAATTTGAAATTTGAAAAAATTAGGGATATGGAAAGACGTTTTAACTTTTTCCCACAAAAGAGAGTGAGTGTTCACACACGGTTAATTACATTTTTACTATATTATATACTTGTATATATGACCCATAATGTTATCGATGTATATATATTAAACAACAAAATAATTCGATTAAACGCGAAAAAAAAAAGATCTGTATTGGTTAGAAGCAACCTCTGTCAAACTTAAGAAAAATGGGAATTGTTTTATTTCAGCATAACTAAATTTACTGAAAAAGATATTTGCGAAATAATATATTGCTAGCATAAATATTAAAACCTTTTGTTTCCCATTATAAACTATTTTAATAATAGTAATGGCCTATCAAATGAATTATAAAAGTAGCGTTTACATGTAGTTTCTGGCCAATTTATCCAAGATAACTAATACGAAAAGAAATAAATCCTACGTGTCTTCAATGTTGGTGGTCTGAATGCGTTATTGTGTATAAAATAAAAAAAGACGTATTTCAGATATGTCGTGTAAAACGAAGCAAATATTTCTTTAAGTGTGTCCAGATCGATTTTAGTCCTAATATAGATATATTCAACTCATGTTATAAGTCAGATAGAGTACGGGATATTGATTGGGGTAATATGGACATGAAAACGATGATTATTGACTACTGCATATCATCAAAGACTTTTGTTGGTATTCTTTTTTTTAAATTTTGCTCTGCATTTTAAGCTTTAGCTTATTCCAAAGCTTCAAGTATAAATGATTCCATTCATGCCCTTGCTTGAATAGGACACATATGCTCAAAGGCAATACATACGAAAATCTCAAAGAGTGTTGAAGTATACATGAAATATTGAAATTGTAATTTTTCCGACAAAAAAATATGAATATTCTCATAAATTATTTAATTTATCAATCTGGCGGTAACCCACCTGATCGCTGAGAACGTGAATGGTGATGTGATATTCGTGCAATTGTTGAACATTAAAAAAACCATGGGTAACACAAAGGGTAGAGAGAGTTATTAAATATAAAAAAGATATTGATTAAATAATATGCAACCGAGAGGGAGTTTCATCTTTAATATCAGAAATATAAGAGTGATAGGTCCAATAATAACAAAAGCTTCCCAGTCACAACCGCAATAACAATAATTAGTGCAACGTTCCAAAGGTCCACTTTATGCTTCCACGAATGTTCGTCAAGTGTAAAATCCATCTATTGTTTACTGAAATTTCAAGCACATGACCTGGCTTGGTTGGCATCTGTGCGACGAAGGAAGTGATCTATGGGTTCATTTTGTGTGCAAACGCATACAAAGCTCAACAATCTACGACAATCACGAATGCTTGTAAGGAAAGGTAATGGCAATTGCAAAAAGTATGATACTAAAGTTTTATGGGCATCAGGACTAAATAGTTCCTGTTCATACATGCGCTTTAAAAAAGTGAATTATGCTACGTGCAACTAATTATATATAGATAATTTGAAGAAAAATTACTCATTATGGCAATGCACTTAGTCATTATTATACATCCACCACCATTCACAGCGAGTCAGTTCAAACCAAATAGCAGTGTCGAAAAGCGTCGAATGCGAAAGAATTCCTTCATTCTGTATATTTCGAGCAGCTAAACTAACCGACATGGACTTTTTAAGTAATATGGTATTAATAGTTTTTTTGATACTGAAACCGAGTCTCATTTTTGCTGGTGAGTTTTTAAAAGTTTTTTGCGAATATTAAAATTAACTGTATATAATCGAACCATTCATAGTCAATATTCATTTGGATGAATGTTCGTAGGATTTCTTTGATTTGAGAAAGATATCTATGTCAGTCTTATCAGATGGAAAGATATCCTCCCATCTTGTTTGCGTCCCTTTTAATTTTAGTGGGGACTAGAACAATAATGGTTGCAAAGCCGAGCGATGTGTCTAAGTATTGTGTGTGTGGTGTTAGGAGTTTGTTGCTCCAATTATTCAAAACTTAAGAAATCTTGCAAGTTTGAAAAAATTTTGTTTGCTCAAATTGGTTTCCGAATATCTTCATAACTGTACAGTGTACTTAGTTATTACTTATCGATCTTAATATAGGTATTTGTCTGTTTGTGTATTTGTATGGTAGACACTTTCTTATGTTACGCGATATCTCACGAAATCGGAGTTGAATCTCCTCCAAATTTTGCATGTGGATTCATCATATCTCGGACCAAAAGCCTACTGATTTTGGATGAATTATGTCGTATAATTAGAATTTTTAATTAATTAGTGATAGGACATCGCTGGGGAGCGGATGAATCGAAACCGCAGTTCATAATTTGGGGGATCCCCTAACTTTTGATCGATAAATCTTCGGTCTCTGACCGATATTCTCATGTATATATTTTGATGAGTACTGAGTAGAACTGAATTCGGCCTAACATCAGTTGAAAAATAAAAATTTACCGCGTCAGATCTCAAGATGAATTACATCACCTTCCTCCATCTATGGTGAATGTACGGAGAAAATAAATGACTGAATGAAAATGAGCAAAATGTTTTCTTACAATGCAATAATGCGTTTTCAGATGACCCGTTTTCGAATGTCCAGTTGGTTATTGAGGATGCCCAAGGTTCCTGTAAGAAGGAAGATCATTTATCGGTAAGTATGTGAACATGCAATTCGTAACAAATTAAATCAGAATATGGCAATTTTTCTGATTGATTTCTTCGATGTTTTATCTTTCTATTCAAACGTGTTTGCTTGTACAATAATATTCCATATACCCGGATTTCCCAAGCCGTTAAAACATGCTTGGCTGACCAATTTACTGCAAGACCCTGAAGTTGCAAGAGTTTCATTTATGTTTACCGCAATCTCTTGTTCCAATTATCTGAACATATGTAAGTGTCTTAAACTAAACTTTGTCCGATACGATTTGTAACGTGCTGCAGAAGACTAATGCGGAGGTATGGCATACTGGAGTGTTAATGACCATCGTTTCCTCCTGACGTGTAGGCAAATGTGCTATGACTCAGTTATGAAGTAATGTATCAGTCTAGCCTGGACAGGCTTCTAACATGATTTGAAACTCAACTAAAAACTCGGTCTCTCGTACTTTATTAAAATTTCTTTTTTTTATGAATTCAAAAATTTGTTCATTTTTACAGATTAAAAGTGAGCAAGGTGAGTACAACGGTTTTCGATGAAATTTCTTGCAAATCTACCCGACTCCCAAAAAGCAGTTTGAATTTGCTAAAGTATATCGAGAAATTGTGAATGAGGCATTTATCGAAGAAAAACATATAAGCTATTCAGTCATATTTAATCAATTTTCCCAGATTGTGTTAGGTCTACAGACTCTATTATATCGATCATCATCCAGCATCATATTATTTATATTAAGGATGGATTTTACGAACCTAGATAAACTAAGCTAGTATTTGGTTATTTTGTTGTTATTTTAAAAGATCAGTTTTTAATTCAATTTATTGCCCAACCACATGTTTATATTCTTCAAAGTTTATTGCATATATTTTATTTGATGCAGAATTGAGAGAAGCATTGGAGAAAAAATTACTGAAGTTTTTGGCTGACAATCCTGGGCAAGAGATCGCTATAACAACACAATTGATAGCGAATGGTAGTAGCCCCGTTAATTTATTCGATATCATTAGTGTTCAATTATAGTATAAATAAAAGCGAAGTTTATTACCTGATTTTCGAAATATTGATGCTGTATGTCCATAGTTTCTCAGTCTAAATATTCACTTTGTTCTAGTTCATAAGATGTCGAAATTTGCTCGGATGGGCATTGACTACCCTACAATGCACACTGAGTGAGATAGTATGCATGTGATTTTAACTCTATAGTATTTTAACCTCGGATACCAAAAAAAGGTCTAACGGTTTTAAATACTTGGCCATCGCGCACACGTCATTTTGAAACGATATTTTAATGTCGTTCGTCGTGTATGCGATAGATCACGCAGTCGGAACAATCAAAGTACGCAAACCATTTCCTTACCTCATCTGTTGTGACGTTTCACTAGAATTGATCCATAATAAAACGAAGTAACCATACAATGCGTATACACAAACCCCAAATTCTTCGGTAGACTTTCACGTCGACAAGAAGTTGAGAAATTGATTTACCATGTGAAAGTATTAATACTACATTACTTTTGGAAATAAAAAAAAAATTGGAAATATATTTGTCAGATACGACGATACATAATCTGATTTTTAATCGATGTTTCGATTGCTTTCTTCTAGAAATTTCATGTTCACCAGGATGGTATAAAGCGAGCAATAATTATTGTTACAAATATTTTACACATGGAGCAAAATACGAAACTGCGAAATCAAATTGCGAAAATGAAGGAGGAACTCTCGCTGCTGCCGGAATTCGAGATTTCGTCGTTCGGATGTAATACCTATATGAGTAAACATTTTATAATAAAATTAAATTTCGGTTATAATCATCAAAACTTTTCTACTACCGCTACTACTACCGGGCCGCTTAATGGCGTCTCAAGTCCGGCTTTTGTTAGTATTTTATGTTTGACTTCTTTCTCATTATGATTTAATATTAGACTCACTGCCTCAAAGGTGACGCTGCTCGATAACCATCTCTGGTGTATCGCGTCTCCCTTCACACTGAAATGTAATTTTTTATTTTTCTTTTGTTCGTCAATATTTACATTCGGTTTGTGATAAAATAAACTACTGACTGACTGACTACTTGCTATCAGGTTTAAAAAAAATTAAAACTAGTACAATAAACGCGGTCATTGGTATACATTAAACTCTAAGTAGCCAGAGCGCCACTATTTCTGCTCAATTTTGGAAGTCCTCCCATGGTAACAAATAGTGCTTCAGGCTTGGAAATGTGAAAACTTCATATTTTTTTTTTATTTGCGTTTTTGACCCTGTACAATCTAATTCTAAGGAAATGACGTTGTGGCCCAGCTCCGCTGGAGGATCGAAATATAATTTAGCTCAAAGTTTCGAAAATAAATCTCCACAAATTAGTTTAATAATTTTGATTTTCTAATTTTTTTTATTAATTCTGTTATTCTTCTATGTAAACAAAACTGGAATTGCCGCTAGTAGCTAATGCGTTATTGCACATCATTTTTTTACAAATTGTTTCTGGTCGCTTAATTCGGACAAATGCTCTCAAATTTAAGTAAAAGTTACTGTGATTAATACTAACTAACTTACTAAGCAGCACTCTACATTCTCACAATACTTAGCTAATACATACTATACCAGTAATACAAACTTAGTATTCATTTTTTGAAGGGAATTGATTCAAAGCATGGGCATTAAACAAAACATTTGGATCGGTGTGGATGACATAATAGAAGAGAAGAGTTTTATTTGGGCGGATGGTGGATGTTATGTTGAGTCAGATACTAACTGGAGTTATAAACAACCGGACGACCACAATGATAATGAGGATTGTGTTCAATTGTATCATACCAATGGGAAATTGAATGATAACAACTGTGATATCCTATTATCATACCTTTGTGAAAAAAAACTATGATTTCGTAAAAATGCCCTTGCTGTAATCAAGGAAGACTTGTGGACAATGTTACGAAACAATACTGAGAATTAGGAAAGTAAATATTACATGTTGAATTAACATTCCGATAGAATTCTGTAAATTACTACGCTGTAACATATTGAGATTTTCAATCGCTATATGATATTGTTTAGTTTATTGTGAATAATATAAAACACACAGGAGTCATGTTAAAGGCCAAATATTCAAACTTATAAGACAAGATATAAATTGTAGTTTGCACTTTATTTTCTTGGCTCGTGCGAAAATCTCATTTTTCATCAAGCAAGAAATATTTCTTTCTAGTTTTTCTGCCTGTAAATTCATTAGCATTCCAATTTTGTTATTTTCAATGTCTTTGTAGCCAGATCGTAGCCAAAGACTATCATAAATGCTAGTAAATATTGAAGTGTCTCACTTTCCTTCTTCTCTTATAGTCTGTATGTCAAACGATGGCGATTACTTATTTTAACAGTCTCATATTTCATGTTTTTGAATTTGAGTCTCTATAATCTTTATGTTGATAAAATACTTTGTTGTAAAATTGCTTATGGTAATTGTAACTTCTCTTCGAGCCATACTATCTTACTATCTTTTTTTTTCAAAAATCAACTAACATTGAACTTTTTTTGCTTAATCCCTAAAATGCCATTGAAATGACATAATAAAAATGAGCTATCAAAATGAAATTGTCGGAGTTTTGAAAACAGAATAATTGGGTTTTATTGACAGCATATTGTATACAATTCTATAACGTAGCATTGCAAAATATTTGATGCTTAATTTGAATGTTTGTGCGAGCTGAAGCTCGCAAACCTGATGGTATGACGCAAGTTGTCGGGACTAATTTTGAATTAATGCGACAAAAATAAATCTTTTCGGACGACCATTGAATTATACTCAATTTTCTTGAAATTAAAATGGGCGATACCATAAAAACGAAATGTTTACAACCATGACTGAAAAATCTGTTCGAAAAAGTTTCAAATGTTAGATCATGGTTAACTCATTGCGGATTGTTCCCTAATACGGGTATAAGCAAGGAAAACAATGCTCCTGGATATATCACTTACATTCGGTATACCTGATCATAATGACAAGCATGAGGAAATACTACGTCACAAGCGTATTATCTGCGTATATAATGGGTATAGTGTAATGCTTTGTTGCCCTAAGTCAAACAATGATCTTTAGGATGACGATGCTCGATTGGTGATGATTGGTCAATTGAATTAATAAATGCAATGGGTTTACATAAATTGCTCTTCTTTGTGTAACCTTATTCGGCATAAAATATTTGAATCCAATCGAATGAAATGATACTAATTACTATGATTTTAAGAGCTATATTAATAGCTCTATACTGTATATACAATATATAATATATATTATTTAAATATATATAATTATATTTTCTGTGCAGCCACTTTTCTGTCAACGATTAGAGGTCAAGAACGGTAATTCAAATAAAAATACTGACCAAAAAATTACTTGATTCCATAGTATTCCAATGGCTTGACCTAATTTTTGTTAAAATCTATGGGTTTAAGCAAACGTAAGCAATGAGAAAATTATTAAAAAATTAGTGCAACTGAGCTCAATTCTACAGAAATTCTTTAAATTGTATTTGGGATCTGGGAAATACTGTAAATGTCCATATCGTTCTGATTATCAATGAAATTCTCATGTTCTTTAAAGAGACTTAAAGATTTGAGCAAACGAAAACGATTCGAAACTGAATTTACAAATCAGAACTGAAGTACAACAGTAAAATATTTTTTGAAGCATTTGAGCTAATCTAGAAGTTAAAAAATGAAATTGCGAAAGTATAGTTGTCGATACAGGATTATATATCACACAGAAATTATTACTTTTGTTAAAATGTAATTCTAATTTGTTCCCGACCAGGCATACAATTCAGAGTCGAACACTTTTAAAGTAATATATTATTGGAAGTATGTCCAAATATACAATTACTTATGATCGTCAATTACTATGCATGATTCGAATATTGCTTGTCTACGTGACTCTGACAGCGTATAAAATATATTTGTAAAATGTTCTTATGTGTACATTGCAACTTTATGAGCGGCCTATGTTGTGTTTGTTTACTTTAACTTGTTTATCTCTCTTATGCATGACATAATTTGCGATCTTACGTCACATCGTGTTTTTCTGAAAATGCAAAACAAACTTGTTGTTAAACGTAAATAGTTTTATAGTTTTTTCTCGTACTTGCAATGGAAATCAGCTAGCGTAATTCGAGTTTGTTACATACTATGGTGCCAGAACAACACCAACCCTATGCAAACTAGTCAGAAACATATTTTTCAGGTAAAAATTTAATTTAAAATTTTGATTCTGGTATTTTCGAAAAGACAGAATATCATATTCTTTTATAAGGTGTACCAAATCACTTTTAGGTGCGGCCGATAGTTTTGGTGCGAAAATAAAATATGCCACACCCAGCTGTCTGAATGTTTTATATTCTATCTCATCACGATAATATTCTATTAATCCGACATAATACATATAGGTGAATCAAATAGTAACCCGCGAAAACGTCTGCGTAATTAGAAATCCTTACGGGTTGGCGATGATGAAATGAAAAAATCTGCAATCTCATCATTCATCCGTCCGAAAAGTTTTTAACACGATATGACGCGACAAATTAAATATTTGCAGTACATATAATAATATTTTATGGTATCGTTTGCTTAATAAATATTCTATGGTTGTTCTGTTTTGTTTGGCTCAATCCATGACTAGACAAACTTGTGGAGAAAATTTTAGAAACAGTCGTGTGAATTTCTCTTACGACGGTCATAGTAGTAGATTAACCCTAGTTTTAGAGTATAAACTTAGATAATGATAGTCTATTATTTTACATCAGAATGTAAAATATATTTTATATTGTATATGGGATGATATTTCTTTTATTCAGAAAAGAATCTTTTGTTCGATTTATGGGGTTGATAAATTAAACTTACGGAATGAAAATGTATATATGATGTATATAAAATACTTCCTAATTTAAAAATCATATCATTATTCACTACTCGGAAAATATTGAGAACGAATATTCAAAGTAAGTTTAAATAACAATTCACCGAATACGTTAATGCTAGTTGATCTTACCCTTACTTAAATTGATAACCGAACTGTATCAGGTGGTTTTCCTCATTTTACATTATAGTCACACCTATCAGGTGAATTTTGGATAATTTGACGATTCTATTATAGAAAAAAGTTAACATTTACAGTAAGTCGTACGCAGTTCATACGCATGCAGTAGATTCGTAACCTATAATTTCGCGGAATTAAACTCTCTGGTATATTTTTTTTGTTTGGACTGGCAGTTGTTCGGGGAATTCATGTTATACACTATGAAAGTGTATTTAGTATTTTATTGACGAACCAAACAAACTATATGTATTCTATGTAGTAATATGGGATTTCCCATTACACTAACATAGACTTGCATTGTATGAACGATCGTTTTATAATTACAGAAGCATATTTACTATTTGCATAACTTTTCATATTCCCGTTCCTGGCTCATCACCTGGATCACAAATACGTCGAATTGGTAGAGGCGCGGAAGTAGAATAGCGAATTCTAGTTATAGCACTATCCGGTATCAATATAAAATATTGCTGACAATATGTGAAGATATGATATTATTAATATTCATGCCATTTTCTCTTAAGCACGCCGGATTTGGGTCTGACGTTGCCCCGAATATATGTAAGGTATGTCGAATGATGGTTTGGGTATACCACGCCGAACGGTACGTTCCAATTCACGAGACAAAGTCATTTTAATTTGCTATAATAAAAGCAGTGCATGAATTACTATGAAATTTTATTAAATATAAAAAAGTTTTTATAGTATTCTACGGAGTGTACATACAACCTGTACGGACGACGGAATGAATGGTTGTGTTGACGAGTTACGGAGGACTCTACTTCGCTAATGATTAATCCAATGAAATAGTTCATAATACTTTATTGAACTGTTATGTCATATATTTAGCCTCACGTGCCCTACTTTGGTAAATTAGACAAGATTCCACGTTGATGAAAGGTGGGGGTGTTTTAATACATAGATCGTGAATACTGGGATAGAAGTGCGTCGAGGTTTATAGCAGAGCATAACATTTATATATACAATAAATTACAGACTGTAGAAAAATGTGATCTGACTGGAGTCCTAATAGTAAATATTTTTTAATATAAACTAGGGCAGTTTTGTTATCAATTGTCAGTTATAAAAATATCAGTACTTGTCAATCATAACAAAAGGTGTTTTTGATATCTTAATCTCCCTTAGCTTCATTTCAACTCCCAATATACACGAAGAAGTGAAAGTATATTAGAATCAATATAAGCTGTAAGCCAGTCGAAGGAAGTCAGGGAATAAATCATTGACAATTTTGACAATTGACCAAAAATAGAAAACGAATATTTTGATATCAAGGATGCTATAGATGGGCATGTTGACCCAATGAAGTTATCGGGGCTGAGTTTCGAAACACTGATATGTCAAAACGCCGCTGTTTCGACGTTTGAAACGGGTATTGTGACGTCGTAGAAAACGCACACTGAAATTCGTCGAAGTATCATGTTTTGACTTACGAATAAATAAGGCGACGTCATCACTTGTGTCGAAAGTATTCCAGGTGCGTATGGCCCCACTAGTCCAGAACAATTTGTGGCATCAGACAAAGTAGCAAATGATCAAAACCACTTCATAAGATTCTATGCTACTAACACTGATACACTTACATGGTGACGTGATAATAAAATGCGCTATCCTATTTTGTCACAGCTTGACGTTACTTATCTATCAATCAGTTCCTTTAACCTCAACTCCATGTAAAAGAGTATTTTCGACTGAAATGTCATGTTTTAATTGTTTGTGACCAACTTGTAGTAACTTATGTTTCGTTTAGATTTTGTTTTGAAGACAAAATTTTGTTTTGATTTCGAAACACCACTGTTTCGAAAATACCCAGCCCTAGTAGTTATGCCAATGTACTTAACATTTGATACGATGAGATGATAACGGTATTATCGGGCAAACTTTAAGATATTCTACCATTTATTATCTGACACTGGTACTATATAAAAATCGCTTTACATCTGTTCAAAAAAAAAAAAATTTTTATGTTTATTTAGCGATTATACACATATTTATTTATTACAAATATTATAAAATGAACGCATCACCCAGAACAACGACATTGGTCAGCACTACTATCGTTACATCGACTTCGTCTGATTCTGGTTCATCTTTGAATGGTTTCCAATGGTATGAAATCATTGGACCATTGATTGGACTTGTGTTCTTGGTTGCCATATTTTTGGCGTTTTGTAAATGCGTTATCGAGATTTGTAAAGAAGGTATATATTCACGCCAGCAAGATCAAGCCGCGGCTCAATCACGTAATCAAGTTGGTGCTAGTAATGGTTCGTGTGATGTCGAGGATCTCCCGCCAAGGTATTCCACGTCTGGGATTGCAACAATAGATTTAGAAAATAATATCATCTTAGAAACAGAAGCGGAAAGACGACGCCGGGAAAGAAGAAAACAAGTCATGGGCCCAGAAGATAAACTGCCAACGTATTCTGAAATTATTGAAGAAAATCG